GCCAAATATACTAAAATAAGAAATCTGAAAAACTATGATTGATTATATTTATGGTCATAAAATTTTAATTTTTTTATGGAGTAACAAAAAATAAATTTATCTTATATATAGGTATGAAGATGGTTGAAGGACAACAAATGTGTGAAACAAAAAGCATGAACTGGAGAGGAATTTGTTTCAAGTGGAGGAGTTGCAAAAGAGTCTGTATCAGTGAAGGCTTCCCTGATGGTCGATGCAAAGGATTTATTCATAATAAATGCGTTTGTAAAAAGCCTTGTCTTCGTTCTACTTAATAAAAACTACAAAATTATCATGAGTTATTGATTGAAGACAGTGGCTAATTAATAAAAATATATAGTATTCTATAAAATTGTTATGTATTTAAAACTCGGTTTAAATAAATGGTTACTAGCTTCGATCAATGTAGAAGAGACTAAAAATAATGAAAGGTTTATTGGCTCTTGAAACAAACAAACATTGTATTTACATAATAGTATTTTAGATTGATTTTTTTTTCCGAGATAAGAAAAGTAATCGGACAGGAAAAGTTCATGTAGAAATTCTGAGTTCCTATACAGTGTCTGTTTGCAAAAAGTTGGTCACAAAGTTGGAGCAGCAGAAAGATTCTTACAAGATATGAAACTCAGTGTTCCTTGTAGTATTTTCCAGGAACTTACATCAACCTGTAAAGAGAAAAATAACGCGATGGATCACGTGAAACAAAACGCATAGTACACTAAAAGAATCAATGCATCAAAGACTCTGTTACACAGATCAAGTGTTAAAAAACCTTTCAATCAAACATGCTTTAGGCTATACCATTTTTGAAGAGTGTAAAGTATAAAAAAACAAGAGTTACAGAACAAATCAGACATGTAGTTGGTCCAATGCTTGGTTATTTGTAAATAATTAATTGATTGTGTCGGTTTTGGTTAATGATGATAAACAATGGTTTAATGAACTTACTTTAGCGTGTTTAGCCACCGATGTGTATCATTGGTCTATTAGCTGTCTTGGCAATGTCAAGCATTCCAGCGTGTGCGGCTTTCTTCCTCTTCACCTGAAACCCATTGTGATATCTTCCGTCTCAAACACAAAACTAATCTTTGAAAAAAAACAGAGGAAAGATTTTGTGATGGTTTGTAAAATCAGATGGAAGTAACTAAATACATACCGCAGCGCCTATAATTTCCCTCAGTGCCTCGTCATCAGCACCAGACCGGAGAGGATCTCTTAAACTAACCTGTTTACAAGAAAATCATCGTGCGGAACATAATGATCAGTCAGTTTTAACATTGTTGACAAGCAACCAGGAATTTTCATGCTTCTATACCAATCAATTAATGTGTAGATGTTCTCAGCCACTTGGATCGGTTTTCAGTCACTAAAAATTTCGGAAATTTAATTTACCTCTGAAGGACCGAACAAGCAAACTTTGAAGTTCCCATCTGCAAGAAGTCTTAATCTGTTGCAGCCAGAACAGAAGTGTTCTGTCATGGATGTGATGAAAGATACAGAACCGCAATGTCCATCGATCTTAAAGTTCTTTGCTGTTTCAGTCGGGTGATCTTGCATACGTTTTATACTCGGAAAGCGCTGTACCTGGTTACCATAACAACTGAAACCACTCAAGGAAAGGTCAACAAATTTAAAAAAAAAGCCAAACATTGAGAAAATTCTACCTTACCACTTTATCCATTACTTCTGCATAAGGCACAAGTTTTTTTACATTCCAAACATTTCCATCAAAGGGCATAAACTCGATGAACCGGACATTAATTGGCTTATCCCGTGTCAATTCCACAAAATCACAAATCTCATCGTCATTCAATCCCCTCATGACAACGCAGTTGACCTGTAAAAACCAGGGACGATATGCAAAAACACTCCCGAGAATCAAATATCGTTCTGCTGCAATCAAATTGAAAATGAGGAAGGATTGTTTAATATACCTTTACGGGATTGTAACCAAGGTCAATAGCAGCATCAATCGATTTCATAACCCTCTCGTGTCCCTTACGTCTAGTCAGAAACTCAAACTTTGCTGGTACCAAAGTATCCAAACTAATATTTATCGAATCAAGCCCGCATTCCCTAAGCTTTGGTAGCTTTTTCGCAAGAGTGATACCGTTTGTAGTAATAGCCAAGTTCTTCAAACCTTTTAAGGTAGACAACTGCAGACAAATCTCTTCGATATCCTTCCTAACTGTAGGCTCACCACCGGTCAACCGAATCTTGTTAACTCCAGAAGAAACAAAAAGACCAGCCAACCTAACAATCTCAGACTGTGACAGTAACTGAGGCTTAGGAGTAAGTTCCACACCTTCAGACGGCATACAATACTGACACCGTAGGTTACATCGCTCAGTCAAAGATATCCTCAAGTAAGTATGTAAACGACCAAATGAATCCATCAACATGTCCGAGACAGGATTGTCTTTTGTCTGATCAACTTGAGCTGCATAACTGCTAAACAAACGCTTACTACTAGTACTAGTAATGGTTCTTGACACTGAGCTAGACCCAACTTCAGAACCAACCTGTTGAAGAATCCCAATGTGAGAAGAGACCACAATAAAGCATTGATTCTCCACATATAACAACATACCACACACATATTGAAATCACTACTAAAGCTCATATTAACATTCATCAGCTCTTAAATCTTGAGAAAAGCAGCAACCTTTTACTCCGATATTAGATCCAGTGTCAGGATTAAAACAAAGCAACTAACTTGAGCGGAGAAATCGAAACCCACTACGAAATTGAATCAGGAACATGTAGCAGAAGTAAGTAGAGAGGAAAAAGATGGAAACTTTACCAAGAAGAAGTTCAAATTCTTGAAACCCCTGTGGCAGTCAGTGATTTTAGAAAGGCACCTCCTCATGATTAACACTGTAGTAGAGAAACGATCGAATGAGAAACTACTTCTGAGACAAAATCATGCAAATGGAGAAAACAAAACCTAATTAAAGAGGTGACCTTTGGTGTACAGAGAGAGTCTTCTTCTTGGAATAACAAACAAAGTTTGATTCTTCTTTTACTGTTCTCAAAAGCTAAGGAGAGAGGCGTTGAAAAAGTGAAGACGGCACTTCATTTTTGGCTAAAAGATGGAACTCATTTCATTTTCTGAGACATCTGCCGGTCTCGCCGGTAACCGGTTACCGGCAATCAAACCGAAGTTAATTGGAAACTTATTTTTTTCGACCAAGTAAATAAGTTTCCATTTCCTTTGTGAA